ATGCTATTTGCCGATAGAATAGCTTTCCCCCACAAATTTTAAGGTAGATACGAACTTATCAACATTGAGTTCATCATCTCTTTAAGAGTTCTATTTTTACGTTTAGCAATACCATTTGATTGAGTTGAGTAAGGTACCGTTGTTTGATGAATGATTCCATGTTCGGAACAATATTCTTCAAATGGTGCCCCGTATTCACCACATTTATCACTATGAATACTTTTTATTTGTTTACCAAGTCGATTTTCAACATTCGTCTTATGATGTTTAAAGACATCTAAGGCTTCGTCTTTATTTCGTAGTAGAAAAACATAACAATAATTTGTACACTCATCAACGAAAGTTATAAAGTATTTCTTACCACCTTTAATTTGAACAAATTTCTAGTCACATATATCGTTATGTATTAATTCTAAAGGTTTCGTGTTACTTTGAATTGAGTAAAAAAGGTGTCTTGGCCAACTTTGCTTCAACACATACTTCACACTTATGATTATGATAAATCTTAAGCATCGGAATTAAACTTCGATTCATAACTTGGCGCCTAGATTTATAATTGACGTGTCCTAATCAATTATGTCATAAACAAGACAACTCAAGCATACAAGTAGAATTCAAAGTTTCATTCATAATGCTTTGTTGAGTACAAATTTATCGGATACGAATACAAGTTTAAAGCCATTTTTGCTAAGTGGAGACCTGAATACAAGATTCTTGCAAATGTCTGGTATATGTAGGACATTGTTGAGGACGAGTTCTTTACCAGATGTCATCTTCAAAGTAACTTTCTCTTATCCTTCAACTTTAGAACTTGTAGAATTCCCATAAAAAGTTGTTCTCCAATTAACTCTTTGTAGTTAGAGAACATAGTCTGTCTACACAAATGTGAGTGTAGCAACAGTATCAACCTGCCATTCTCTTGAATTCCCAACATTGTTACATTCAGAAACAACTGCTGAAAGGTTCATCTCTTGTATCCCTTTAGAAAAGGTGTCTCTTTCAATCACATTTGCTTGTGCGTTCTTCTTAGGCTTTCAAAATTCATTAGAGCGATGTCCAGATTTTCCACAACTGTAACAGTTGCCTTTAAACTTTTTGGCATTCTTGGAGTTATCTCTTTTTGTACAACACCGGAGATTTTTCATTTCTTGTTTACAACCTTCGAACCAGTTTCAACAAGATTTGCTCCAAGTTGAACAATAAATTTCCTTTCGGTGTTTCTATTGTCTTCCTCGATCCTCAATTGGACTATCAATTCCTCCAAATTCATCTCCTTGCGTTTGTGCTTGGGATCTCCACATAAGAGGAAGTTTCTCAATTATGGCTGCAACTTGGAAGGACTTACTCAATTCTATCTTTTCAGAATGTATATCATGAAGTAGAACTTGAAGATCTTGTACTTGACTTATCAAGGTTTTGGAGTCTACCAATTTTGAGTCCAAAAACTTGTCAACAATTAACTTCTTTATTCCGTCATCCTCAGATTTGTACCTATTTTCCAACGAATCCAATAGATCCTTGGTCGAGTCCATTCAACTATACACTCCATAAAGTGTATTGTCCAATCCATTTAGGATATAATTTTTGCAAAGGAACTCTAAATGCTTCCATGCAACTAACTCAATAATCGACTCACGATTATTTTCTCCTTCTGTACAGCGGGAGCCCTTTCTTTTAGGTACTTTGCCAAATTAAAAGTAGTAAAATAAAACAACATCTTTTGTTGCCATCTTTTAAAATCTACACCTGCAAACTTCTCCAGTTTTTCCTCATGTGGGATGTGAGAGTTTGATATAGGTATGGCCAAAGAAGGAACCACATGGTTCGTACCATTTGTTGTTTGACTTGAAGTAGTCTCAACATGATTCATTTTCATTATAAATAGAAGTTCAATGTACAAAAATATGGAAAGAAATGAATGGCACACAAATGCTTATTCCAAAGATGAAGAAAGAATGTAACAACCAAAAACGGATATTGTCTTAAGTTTGTTGGGGCGGTAGTGTAAATGATTGTTCAAGACAAGGAGATATTCAAGTTTAACTCATAGGAGCGTAATTAAACTTTAAAGAAAAAAGTAAGAAAAATAAAACAAAAGGAAAAATGAAATCCGAGGCAAGTGAAAACATTTTCTCCTTAAGACAATATTGTCTCGTAATGGTGCTAACGGACTACGACACTTGTCTCCCAAGATACAACGGATACAACTTGTGGTAGAAGCACTTCAAAGCAACAGCAACAACGAACTTAAAACGAAATTTTCTCTCAATACGAAAAACGGTTTTAGAATGACTTTTGGGAGTATTTTACAAGAGTTTTTGATGTTATGCTCAATGCAAATGATATGGTCCAAAGGGTTTTTTCTATAGAAGAGAAAATGTTGTGAGTGAAATGTTGCGCCCTAAACTCAGCAACCATTGCCAAAGGTCGCAGCATTTGCTGTCGCTAGTATGTCGCGACATCTCGCTCAAGCGATAGTGACACATTTTCATCAGAGTTTCTCTCGCTAGCTTGTCGCTAGACTGACTCTCAGCAACAGTCTCACCGCTCGAGCGATGGAGACAACCAATTTCGAGTCCGTATTTCCTCTTTTTCTATCCAATTTTGGACCGCAATTTTTCATTCATCCGGAATTGATTTTGAGATTTCTATCCAACTTTGGATCGAAATTTCTCATATATCCGGAATTGATTTTGAGATTTCAAATATATCACGACGATCTACTCGATGAGTAGAACAAGTTAGTTTATTTATATTCATAATTTGACTATCAGATCAAATTCGAATATTTGGTCGAAATTGACACGAAAGTCACTTTTTCGTACTTAATTTCATTCTCTAAATCAAATTCCAACACCATTTTCAAACTTATCCAACTCCGATAAGATTGGATTCTAACTAACTTACAACTCCCACTCATTGAAATACTCGAGTCTTTTGCATCTCTTAAACAGAGAAGGCTTCAAGTATCATAATCCTATCAAGAGTGTGCTACTTTCCTCTATAAATATAGGTTCTAATTCATTATTCAGGTATGGTCTTACATTCAATTTAAAGCCTTACACTTATATTTCTCCATTTCGCTAACTTAAGTATCTGAGGGGCGATAAGGGCACACCTCGATGCCTTTGTTTCAGTTACCGAAGATTTCGTTCGTGATCATCATCAATCGTCAAGCTCAAGAATCAACCGATGACGATTTTTTGTAACATCAATACATATTCTCTTTCTTCTCTCGTTGTGTTCGTCATCTTCTTCCTCTCACTTTTGTTTTTCATTTTTGAAAAAGATCATAGTGATCCTTTGTGTAATCAGAGAGAGGAAGGTTTCTCTTTGTGAGAGTGAAGAGTAACTGGCTAGTTAGGTAGAGATTTTGAAAGCTGTGTTGAGGAAAGCTGTGTTGAGAAGTCTTGGTGATTTCTGCCTTTTATTGAATACTGTAAGTATTTGGTTTGATTTTAGAGCTTGAGCTATATGTAGAAAATTGAGAAGAAAACTATTTGGAGAATCCAAAAATTAAATGAAGTTTATGATAAACTATTGGTCTATTTACAGTTATAGAGTCCCTAACTAGTACAACTTGTATCAAATAATTACTAGCTAGATACATACAAGACGAGATAGATTTCTACAAGACGACGATAGTCACGATACAAGAGTACCAATTTAGTTTAGTATCTTTTACAAGAGTCATGATGTAGTATAGTATAGCATTCTCTACAAGATGAGGTACAAGAGTCCTGATCAAGTTTAGCTTATCTCTAACATAATCCACTTCAATAGGATGCTCAATGGGTGAGTAGGCTTTAGTGCAAATGAACATCCAGACCCTAAGGTGTAACAATCTTCTGTACTCTTACTTTCTTGAACTGTCTGGAGTGTTTGTTCTCGGTTAATTGTGTTATTGGGACGGTTCAACTGACTTCAAATATTAATGGAATTTTGAATTTTCTATTAGCGATTCTAAATTCAAATTTCAATTTTTTTTTTCTTTCTAACATTTGTATTGTTTATTCATATGACAAGGCTTTCTACTATCCAACAACAGATTTACTGTCTTTCATGAATTATATATATTCTCCAAACTTGTTTACTTGTGTCTAAATGATCATTTGTTGCTCTCTATTTTAAATAACCTGTTTTGGTTCTGATATACAATTTTTAGCACCCATTACTCATTGAACTTATTGTTGTGACCCTATTAAAACTTTTTAATATCCAAAATGTTTCCCTAAGAGCATGTCAAATTTAATTTTTAATATCCCACACGTTCACAATTTTCATAAATAAATAATGACGCATTTGAACTCACGATCTTCAATTGTTGTAATACCATGCCGAAGTACCTCGTCCAAGAGCTTAAGTTATTGAATATAGAACACATTTATTCATTTAAATTTAGCAAGGAACTTCGTATTTATTCTGAATTTTAAAACCTTGATTCTCCAGCTTCTGTAATACACGTTTACAAGTACATAATCATTTTTATCTCTTTAGTCTAAAATTGGCAGTGAATGTATACTGAGAACAAAGTAAAGCTCTGGTAACAGAAAGACAACCAGCTGCAGATTGTTGACATACACGGTAAACTTTTTCTATTGCGAGGCACAAAGTAAAGCTCTATTAACAGAAAGACAACCAGTTACAGATTTTTGATGAACAGTAAAAATTTTCTCTTGCAAGGCTCAACATATCGACCATGAATCAATCCAGTACGATAATCCTTGATAAAAGGACGACTGGAAACAACGAAACAAATTCGATCGAGTCTATATTGTTCTGTATAAAACAACATTTATGCACCTAGATAAACAAAAGGATGAAAGAATGTCGAAACAAAACAGATAATGTAGAAGTAAACGAGAGAAACAAAAGGATAGAAGACTGTCGAAACAGAACAGAACAGATAATGTAGAAGTAAACGAGTCTATTAGGAAGCGATTCAGACAAAGCAAGATATGCGGAAGCTGAGGAAATGGATGTTTCTATGTTACTAAAACCTAGGATGCCATTACGGGTACTCGCTTGAGACTGATAACAGCCTGACGAAGCCAATGATAACCATTTCGATAATGTTCAAGTGATAAGCAAAGCTGCCTTATAGCCTCTCGTTTCTCTTCTGCTCCTTCCCGAATAACTTCTTCTTTTCTCTTGACCTCTGTCTCCAATTCTTCAACTCTTGTACGTAACTTCTCTGTCATTTTATGTGACCCTTCAGCAGCAACAATCAATTCAACATGCTCCATATGTAATTGATGCAAATGATTCTTCATTTGATCGATTTGGTCATCTTTCAAACCAATCTCTGCAGAAAGTGTACCGATCTTGGCATCACGACTGTCTTTCTCAGACCTCAGCATGTTGTAATTCAGTTTTAAGGCTTCAAGGATTTTATTTAATTCTTCAATGTGATCTTTTTTCTCGGAAATCTCAGCCTTCAACTGCTCATTTTGAGCTCCAAGCATAACTTCCGTCTCTGCTTTTCCAGCTTCGGCTCGTCTGACATTCTCCTCTAAGGATTGGCAGTGCAAATCCAATTCTTTTAGGTTATTCTCCAAATAAGATCGTTCCTTCGATAATATAGTTAAATCTGATTGAAGTTGCTTATTTTCTTCGGATAAGCTCTTACTGGCATTTGAATTTGCTTCTTTCAATCCCCAGATTTCTTGATCTCTGTCAGCAAGATTGGATTTGTACCTCTCTATTTGATCCTGCAGCTTTGAAACCTCATTTTTTTCATTCTCGAGTTTAATTATGCAGATGGAAATCTCCTTTTGGGCTGATTTAAGTTGATCTTGCAAATGTTGAATAGATGACCCATTGCACTCGATTTCGTCCCTTAAGCTTACAACTTCCTTTTCCGACTCATGCAGCTTCTCTTGCGTAATTTTCAGCTCTTCCTCGAGTGTCCGAATTTTGTTCACTGGGTCAAAATCATCAGCTTTTGATCCATCATTGCTTTCTTGAAGCCCTCTGACCTGATTTTGCTCCACTTCACCATCTTTAAGAGATCTATACTTCTGAAGCTCAATCAACAAACGACTATTTTCCTCTTCAAATAGCTGAATCTTATCCTTTGCAATCCTCAAATCTTCTTCATATGCCGCTACTCTAGCAAGAGCTTCAGAATTTCCATTGGACGATTTCATAAAAGAGCCTTCAGAAATCTCTTTCTGTTGCATCTTGAGTCTTTCTTTCACATCCGAAAGCTCAGTCTCCAATTCAGAAATCCTCTGACGCAACTCAAGTTCCTCAACATTGCTCTGTGTGCCAGAGGAATTGTTAACAGAGGAATCATCCGAGACAGATTCAGAATCAGATGTAGATGAACCATCTACTTTATTTAAATCCGAGCCACTTCCACCAGTACCAAGAAAGAGAGCACCGGATTTGGGACGACTCGGATTTCGATCGGGGGATGGCAATGAGGATGGCGGTTCAGATCCCACATCAGATATTCCAGATCCCTGAGATTGGAGATCAGATGGAATACTCTTCCGAAGTTCTCCAGTCACAAGATCATAACGTTCAGCTAGTGCTCGATACATTCGATAAAACTCTTCAACAAGACTTATCAACTCTGGTCTCTTCTGATAGTACATTTCAGCCCTTCTAGCAAATGAATCTGCATCCTCTTCTATGAGTTTTAACATCAGTTTGACTTTCTGGTCCATTTCTGGGATCATTAAACTTTTCCTCAATTTTTCGGCTCGATATATATTATTCAAATTATGAAACGTGAGAATTCTAACAATAACTAAAAAAAATATATAAACTGAACATAAGAAGATGAAATTTAACATTTTATCTTTACGATTTAGAGTTAATACAATGATTTAAATCATTGAAGCCATTTACAACATCGAAATTGTCTAGTTAATCAGTTGATAGTCAGATGCATTATCTTTCTATTCCTGATGCTTGCAAAAAAAAAAAAATTATGCTTGTGGTTTTAAAACTCTATTTAACATAATTTCCATGATTTCTATGTCAATGATATATTTATTACCTTCAAGATTATCTTGTAACCACTTAGAGTTTTTGGGACTAATGTGGCTATTCCACCACCATGAGTACGACTTTTTTGATTCCATCCTCTTCATCTTATTTGACTTAACCTGAAAGGAAAGAACCGAGATCACAACAAAACAACAAAGCCTCCTATGAATGTAAATCTGAGGTAGGCTACATTAACCATATTCTGCTGTTCGTTTGATATAGCTATATGCCTATATCTACAAGAAGATCTGAAGAAATTAACTCTAAGCAACTACTACAGCGACAACACATGCTTTCCCTTATTCACATGATAGCCTAAAAAACTAAGCTTCCAACGAACCAAACCCATGTACGATAATTTCATATGATTGCTTAAAAAGGAAAGATAAACAGCATGCGGTTTCTTACCAGTGTTGATGCCATTATACGTTAACACCTCACTCAGAAAGAAAGGAAGTCGACTACCTGCAAATTATATCTATATACATTAGCATGGATATGCATAACTAACATATAATTCATCCAAAAATACATAAAACTGATTTGGATTTCATCTATACCTTACAATTATTCATCACCAACATGTACTGATTAATATTCATAATCACGGTAAAGCGTATTTCGTGAAACTACAATATATAAATTACCAGTCAAGAAAACATACACCAAGTTGAATTTAAGAGAGAAAAGAAGACAATACAAAGAGAATAGAATTGTATTGAATAGTGTAATTTGTTTAAAAGAGAGGCATCCTATTTATAGTTTAATTTGATAGGAATGTTTTACTTTTTTGACTTTCTGGTCCATTTCTGGGAGCATTAAACTTTTCCTCAATTTTTCGGCTCAATAGATATTATTCAAATTATGAAACGTGAGAATTCTAACACTAAGTAAAAAAATATATATAAACTGAACATAAGAAGATGAAATTTAACATTTTATCTTTACAATTTAGAGTTAATACAATGATTTAAATCATTGAAGCCATTTACAGCATCAAAATTGTCTAGTTAATCAGTTGATAGTCAGATGCATTATCTTTCTATTCCTGATGCTTGCAAAAAAAAAAAAAGTCGAACTGAAAACTTATGTTTGTGGTTTTAAAACTCTATTTAACATAATTTCCATGATTTCTACGTCAATGATATATTTATTACCTTCAAGATTATCTTGTAACCACTTAGAGTTTTTGGGACTAATGTGGCTATTCCACCACCATGAGTACAACTTTTTTGATTCCATCCTCTTCATCTTATTTGACTTAACCTGAAAGGAAAGAACCGAGATCACAACAAAACAACAAAGCCTCCTATGAAAGTAAATCTGAGGTAGGCTACATTAACCATTTTCTGCTGTTCGTTTGATATAGCTATATGCCTATATCTACAAGAAGATCTGAAGAAATTAACTCTAAGCAACTACAACAGCCACAACACATGCTTTCCCTTATTCACGTGGTAGCCTAAAAAACCAAGCTTCCAACGAACCAAACCCATGTACGATAATTTCATATGATTGCTTAAAAAGGAAAGATAAGCAGCATGCGGTTTCTTACCAGTGTTGATGCCATTATACGTTAACACCTCACTCAGAAAGAAAGGAAGTCGACTACCTGCAAATTATATCTATATACATGAGCATGGATATGCATAACTAACATATAATTCATCCAAAAATACATAAAACTGATTTGGATACAATTATTCATCACCAACATGTACTGATTAATATTCATAATCACGGTAAAACGTATTTCGTGAAAACATACACCATACTAGTGTTGACAAGATTTTCATTTCTAACTATAATATCTAACAAACAAAAAATATAAGAAAATAGCTTCATTTAGCCAAATGGTTAGGTAGACAACGATGGTTACATGTAATTCATGACAAAAGGGACAGAAAATGACATGGTCCATAGCTTCATACCTATTAAATAAAGGCAATAATAGAGTGAGTTGAGTAAGATAATGGGGATGGAGCCTCAGTAAATGGGCTAGGATTAGCCTGGTCCGGCAAAATAATGAAAATACATAAATGTGGAAAAAAAATTTCTACAAACAATAGAGTAGAGAAAGTTTATGGATCAAATCTCACCTTTGCCTATTCATGAAAATTGTACACATATTAAGGCTTTTGATAAAATATATATATATAATCGACTCGCACACGTTGAAACTATAATTTAAATGAATAAAATGTCTCATCTCTAAAGATCTTGAGGTTTCGAATGTAGTTCGATTTAACTAATGGATCGCCAGCATACTCCTAAATCTCGAGCCTTGATTGAATCATTTCAAGAAAAAAGGACCATTTTGCGTCAATATTAAACTACTGGAAGCAAATTGATGTGCTTTGTACTTACTAATTACTATATGATTTATTAGAATGTGAAAAATCATAAAATTTAAGGATTTTCATGGAATTATTAAAATAAAATTACATTATTATTAGAAATTCATTCGTGCGATTCAAGAAGAAATGCAAGCATAAAACTCAAAGTACAGAATTTCAATAAATAAGTTACAATCATTAAATTAACACACAGAAACAAAAAAATAAAGATAATTCCAAAGATAACATGACATTAATCTGAAACTTCATGACCACATATGTAAAGCTCCCATTTCGAATAACGCAAGTAAAAAGGACAAAACCTGGAAAACATAGAAAATTGAAGAAAAGCTCACCTTTTTTTTTCTTTTTTTGCTTTCTTGAAAATTCAAGTGAATGTAAGGGACATAAGTAAGGAAGGCCCAAGAAAAGTTGGGAATCTCTTGCAAGTTGCAACAGAGACAAAAAAGGTTGAGAGATTCTTGTATAGTTGTGGAAGGATTTGTATTGTCAGCTCTAGAGAGTGGAAGGGGTGTGCTGGGGGACGGTGCAAATACAATACAAATATCTGTTGGCATGGGGATGGCGGGATTATTCGGGACTAATCATTATTTTATTATTTTTGCGTTAGAAAAATGGTGGAGAAATAAGAAATAAAGGCTATCGGAGTATCACTCATGCTACGTATACATGCCTCTTACATTTTCATTTAGGCTAATTAGCACAAAATGTCCCTATCTTTGAGGTCTATTGTGAAAAACGTCCAAAATTTCATTTTGTGGTGCAAAACGTCCCTACCTTTCACTTTTGTAGCGCTCAACGTCCTTTTAGTCTCTTTTTGACGATTTTGCCCCTCATTCAAATAAAATAAAAAGAAAAGAAAAGAAAAACAATCTAACAAATTGCAATGATAGACCCAAACTTTTTTAAAAGTGCAAATGACGATTCCATCAACAATTGAAGTTCCCCCATCGAATTAAGGAGCAATGAAGAATCATCAAAATTGACAAACCCTAATTTTTCGCACAAACCTCCAATGGCAGTGAGTAATCGAATATGATTTTGATGCAATTGATGATGACCCAATACTGGAATAGAGGCGCCAGGTGATGTTGAGCTAAGTCCAAGTGGTCCCCCTCCAGAGTGCACCGGACGGCACCGGAAATCGCATTTCCGAGATCGTGAGTGTGAGCGTCGGCACCGGAGTTCGTGTTCTTCTCAGACGAGTTCGCTACAGTCGCGACTCTTGTTGATTTTTCTGCAAAATTAGCTTGTTATAAAGCTGTAAGTAGTGAATTGATGGCTTGGATAGCTTCGTCCATGGTAGTGCAGTCTGCCAGGGGTAAGTTTCGGCCATGGTTGACCGGATTCTTGGAGATTCCGGTAGAATTTTAGTTCGATTTTGGTCGAATTTTAGTTCGATTTTGTTGTTTTTTGAGGCTGAAATTTGAATAGGAATGTTAGGGGTTGATGAAAAGATGGCGTTGGTGCAAAAATCCGGTGGCCACTGTGACCTGAAAATGACCGGCAAGCGGCGATAGGGTGGGGGTGAGTTTTGAGAAGAATGTGAAGTTTGGTAGGTTGTTTGCACTTTTAAAAAAGTTTGGGTCTATCGTTACAATTTGTTAGATTGTTTTTCTTTTCTTTTCTTTTTATTTTATTTGAATGAGGGACAAATTTGTCAAAAAGAGACTATAAGGACGTTGAGCGCTACAAAAGTGAAAGGTAGGGACGTTTTGCACCAAAAAATGAAATTTTGGACGTTTTCCACAATAGACCTCAAAGGTAGGGACGTTTTATGCTAATTAGCCTTTTCATTTACAATTTTCCACGTGTCAATATCTACATTCTTGATTTTAAACTCACACATTACATCACTGCATAAAATTCTTCCACATAAGGGTGTACGTCAACAAGGTTGTCCAAGTATTGTACATATATCATTATTCATCCGAGTATTAAACGAAGAACTCTGCTACCTGTACAGAAAATCTGTACAAGTAGCTTGATAGATGAATATGTGGCATGTACAAATTTTCTGGACAAGTAGAATAACTTTTAAACAGGTAAGAGAGTCAACTAACAAGTAAGTATATGTGTTCATGATGAGAAAGAGGTTCATTACAACGATTTTTATGTACACGTGATTGGATCAATCATTTAGATCATGATATTTTGAACCTCGAATCGGCCTCGATATTCGATGTCCATTTGTTTCTATCTTTATTTCAGGATTCAAGGTGTCACGATTTGAATGGTTCCAGATCTGAAGTGTCATGATTTAAATAATCGATTCTATTGTTTGTGCATATAGGACCCCCATTATTGAAGTTTTTGTCGTCCACAAGGACAAGAATTTGCAGGTCAATCGCCGTAAAATTTAATATTGTATAAATAATTAACTAACGTGTCAAAAAATGTGAGTGTGTTAAAAAATAGTTTTACCCAATCTGATTTTACACTACTAAAATATGAGTAGAGGCAAACTTTTTGACAAAATTTTACTTAAATCTATAATGGTTATTTATTTTACTCCATTATTTGGCTTCTCCATGTGAACATATTTTTTATATTTGATCCGAAATATTTTATGTACTTTTTCCATCGTTTTAATTAATGCAGCCGGGGATTATTAATTATATAAATCAGGCAAAGTTATACATGAATTCAAACGTGATCAACAATTGATTTTCTTTCGTTTAGTTTTCTTGATTGTGGGAAGAAGTGGGAATATTATATTGTTAATTAATAATTTGTGGCTTGGAGAAATGAATTCATAATAATTAATGATTGGATCTTATGATTCACCAAGTTGTGTAAAAATGGGTGGTAAGTACAGGTTTTGAACTATTCAATCAAAATCAACTTTTAGACATATCTCACGATCATACTTTTCTAACTTTTTTTTTCAACATACTCATTTTCAATAACATATTCAGACAATAAAATATGTTGCATGTAAATTTAAATCATTTCTGTACATTTTAATCACACATTCTTCTAAAAATCACTATTTAAAACATTGTTTATTTTCCAAATAACGACCATCAAACAAGGGCTTAATTTCCAACCAAAAAGACAAAAAACAGTTGGCCCAACACGAGGGNTCTTTGATGGCTTCAAGGTTGATCCGTCAATTATAAAGGATCGTACTCGGTTGAATTTTTTAGTCCAATGACCATGAGGACTTGCTCAGTTACGTCCAGTTAGGTTTCGCTAAAAATTACATTTTTAATAGATTTCGATAAAAAACAATGAAATTTGTGATTGAAAAGTCTCATAAAAAATCCGATTAAAATTAATAGTTGATTTTAATTTATATTTTTATCAATTTTTTTAATTAAACAAAACAAGTGCTCGATGTGCAAAGTGCTTTTTATACTTAACCAATATTTATTTATTTATTTATTTTGCAAATATATAACGAGATGGTTTAAATTTTTTTCAATCATCAATTTAAAAAGCAATCATGTTTGGTGTAAAATGTTGTTAACAACATGTCATGTGATATGTTATCATTGAATAGTTTAAAAAATAATTTATATTTTCAACTAACATTTTTTTGCCACTTATATAACATTGTCAATAATGTTGTAAAAAAAATTGTATAAATAGATTTATCCTTTAAAAAAAACTCATGTTTGGTGTACAATATTGTTGGCAACATGTCATGTAGCATGTTATCATCGGACAATTTAAAAAATAATTGAACAGCATGGACCGGAGTTCATAAGTCTTGTTGAAGAGTTTTATCGAATGTATCAAGCACTAGCCGAGTCCAACCCAACCACCAATAATATTATCAGGGTTTTAGGCCAGGTCAATTCAAAAAGTGAACAATACATATATTTAATGCATTTTTAAAGATACAATTTCAAAATTATCAAATTAAATAGTTATGCTTCATTTCTCAAATACAATCACAAATTTTATAGGTCACAATTTATTTATCGATTACAAATCACAAATTATCAATTTAATTTGGCACAACTTAACAAAGTGTCACAATTGCAAATTTAGACACAATCTCACTTTTTTAGGTCACATATAATTTTTTGGTTACAAACACTATCTATTCCATCCCATCTCATTACATACCATTCCATTGCACACCACACCACACCACACCACCTCTCATTCCAACCCCAATCCACCATAGACACCAACCGAATGTGAGTGCCACCTCATCACTACCGCCAGCACCATCACCAACACCGCTATTGTTAACACCACA